CTCTGAGGGGAAGGAAATCTGGTACTGGTGGGTGCACATTAGAGATCTAATGTATAAAGAGGGAAGGCACAGGGGAACAGAGTGAAAATCCGAACATTGGCCCTTTAGAACCATTCTGTAAACTCTGCATTGTGAGGCAAAGCTGTGTAACTCCAGAATATCACTTTTCATCATTGACCAGCAAAGGTGCTTAGTGCAGGTTATCCAGGGACCATGCCATTGTATTCTTGATGGGCCTGGCTGTTGAATACATTGTCCTCAATCACCATGGCCCAGAGAGCAGTGGAAGGCTCTAGTCTGGAAATGACACTTGTCACTTCCCTTCATATGGTAGTGTCTCACTCTTCTCCCAGCCATGGGACTGTGCAACCCCTTGGTCCCTGGGGTGGAGGAAGCCAGTATGTGGAAAATGTTAGGCTCTGTTTAGAGCCCGTCAGGAGGTGGGAACCTCACTAAGGTCCAGGTATTCCCTCATGGTTCACCCTTGACAGTGGAGCAGAGGCTTCTCTGGATGTGCATAGCCTGTGTGGCCTGACCAGATGGTCCATTTGAAGGGTAGCCACTTGTGCAGAGATGTGCACCTTACTTACCCATCTAACTGGGTGACACAGGCTCCTGAGTGTGTCTTGCACAGTGCCTCATATTCAAGAGAAATTATCAAAGGGATGCAACATGGAACAATTCAGCCCCAAAGTTAGAAAATAAGCTCTTCTAACCTGGGGGATGATAACCCTCTGTCTCAGCCACTGTATGTCCTTTTCCTCTGCATTTCCCCTGATGGAGGTTTTTCTTTGAGCCAGGCACCCCCAAAAAGGGGTGTGTGTACCCTAGAAAGCACGGGGGAAGTTTGATGGGATTTTGAAACAAGACCTCTGTGATGGTTAGTTTTATGTGTCAACTTGGGTGGACCTAAGGGTCTCCAGATATTGGCCAGATAATATTCTGGGTATGTTTGGGAGGGTGTTTCTGGATGTGTATACTCAGTAAAGCAATCTGCATTTCTCATCTAGTGGGCCTTATCTAGTCTGTTGAAACCAGAACAGAATGAAAAGACAGAGGAGAAATTCGACCTCCTGCCTGACTGCTTGAGCGGGGACCTCTGTCTTTTGCCCTTAGTTCTCCTGGTTCTCACGCCTTTGGTTTGGACTGAATTACAACATCGACTCCTCTCTTGGGAGAGGAGTTTCTCACTTCCATTATCTCCTGAGCCAGTCCCTCATAATAGATTACTTCCTATACATCTATATGTGCCTTAATGGTTATTTTATTTAGGAAGCCCTGACTAATACAACATCAGGAGGTTTATTTATAGTCAGTGCTCTGGAATTTAAGAAAGGTGCCTTCTAAACATTTGAAAAATGAGCTGGTGATGGCGATTTGATTCTAACCACATGTTACTTCCAGGCCTGGGTCAGGGGTTTGCTGGTTTGCTTGCCTGGACTCAACGCTCTTTTACAGCAGTATGTAGTAGCGACCTAGAGTCAGCAGGTTGGGAGGTCTCAGGTTTTGCTCTTTCATTTTTAAAAAAAGATTTATTTATGCATACAAGAACTGGGGTACAGGCCAGAGGTGCTGGGGGTGAGAGGATTCACCCGAGACAGAGTGGGAACAAATCAGGTGGATTGACTGAAATACACAGCTGAGGGGAGCCGCGGGCGAGACAGGAGAGGTCTGCTGCACCATGTGGGTAGCTCCCTGGCCTGCTGGGGATTGAACTTGTGCCATGCTGCAGTGGCTGCAGATAGCTTCATAGTGCTGTGACTTAATCCCTTGTGCCACCAGGGAGACCCTATGCTGCTTCATTTTGTTCTCTTCTGTTTACCAAAGACAAGTGCTCCCAGGCTGTGAGACCATATGAGATGGCTATGGACAAACCCTGGCAAATAATTTCTGAAGAGTAACTCCTATAATCTGTCCCTAACTGTTTTGACAATTAGCAGGGAAATTCCTTTTGAAAGAAACTGTGCTGTAGTGGCACAGCAGTGGCACAGCACATTGACCACAGCACTGTGAAGCTCTCCGCAGCTTCTACAGCACGGGTTCAATTCCCTGCCAGCCAGAGAGATTCCCACGCGGCGCAGCAGACCTCTCCTGTGATGCCCACTGCTCCCATCAGCAGTGTATTTCAGTCAGTCTGCCTGTTCTGCTCCCTGCTCTGTCTCTGGTGAATCCTCTCACCCTTCTGTGCCTCTGGTCTGTACCCCAGCTATTGTATAAATAAATAAACAAACAAACAAATAAATAAATAAATTTTTTTTTTTTTAAAGAAACTGTGCTGTAGAGGGGGCATTTTGAAAATGAATGTTGGATGTGTTGATTTTGTTGACAGGAATAATGTATGTAACCCACAGAGTTCTTTTTTACAAATGCTTAGAGTTTCCTGACTGGTTGGAAAGTCTAAAAAAAGAAAAGTGGATTTTCATCATATTAAAAACACAACAATGAAAATTTTCTTCTTAGTTTGTAAGAAGATGGACATTCATCAGTCAAATTTCAACAAAAATCTTTGTATCTGTAAATGAATTTAAAAATGAGTGATGATTTAGGAAGAGAGCTAATCTGATAACCTGTAAATTTTAAATACATTGAAATAAACTCTACATAGAACCAAGACTTTTCTTCAGGAACCAAGATTCCTTTTAAAAAGTTGAAACATGTCTAATTACATTGCTCATTAAAATATTGTTAGTATTTTGGAGACACCAAAAGTATTTTGTGCCAAATGAAGCAAAACTATTGTGTTAAAAATGTTACTACTTTTGCTTTAGCTTATCCTGCAGAGAACTTTTTCTTGGTGTATCAGTGCACCTGTGTTAACAGGTAACTGACTATACATGTCTTAGGAGAGGTTCTGAGACCTCGCAGAGTCCTTCCTGACACTTTTCTTTCCTACAAAACTGCGTTGCTGAACCGGCATCTGAACCAGACCTTGACCATGGCCATGTCTGCTTCATAGTCTGAAGAGTCTCTCAGCAGGGTCTTGTAGCTGCTGGCTTCTTTTCCTGCCCTCCCCTACTTCAAGGAGGGTTTCGCCACCTCACCTACTTTAAGGAGTAGGTGGAACCTATTGTGTGGTTAGTCTCCTTGATAACTAATGGCTCCTGTGTAATACACGTGATTGTTTTTCCAAAAAATGCCCCTAGAGGAGTCCCAGGGGATTCCAGGTTGGGCCCACCTATGGGGTCATGTGTTCAAGCTATTCTTGTGCCTGAGGCTTCCTGCACCAACCTTTGGGGATCTCCACTGTTCTCCTTTATTTGGTAGAATTGCTACATGAAATCTAGCAACATGTGACCAACCAGCTCACGTGTCATTGTTGGAGTACTCATGACACAAATAGGTGGACTGCCAGGCTCACTAGATAGCATAAGTAGGAATGGAGCCTCTAAAAATAGTTATTTTTAGGGCCTCCCCTGGTGGCGCAGCAGTTGAGTGCTGGGTTGTGAGGCTGCCCGCAGCCTCTGCAGCGCCGGTTCGCTCCCCGGCCACTGGCGAGGGTCCAACAAAAATAAAAAATAAAGTAAAAATAAAAATAGTTATTTGTATACTCTTTTATAATGAGGAATCCAGAACATGTCACCTGGCCACAAAGTGGGACATGAACCAGGAATGCTGCCTCTAAGCCATGGCTTTTGATGATCAGGCCACTGGATGCCATGGAGGTGGGAGTGGTGTGTGTGGGGGGAATATGACTGCCTGATTGTTCTACATTCCAGAGTTTGGTAGCCCGTAGTGCTGACTCACATGTAGAAATGTTCCCCAAACTGAGCTCCTTTCTTGGGTCAGGCTTTGTGCCAAGTGGGAAGCCTGGGTAACCTCTCAATGCTTATCATTTCTGAGGGCACATGCTGCATGGACCCTTGGCCATCAGGGCCTTTTGAACCATAACAGTGGTTGGTTGCATTAGTTTCTGCAAGGCCCAGGAACTAAGAGGTCAGCAGGTTAGGACTTAGGTGCCCCTGCCTCATCCCTGGTCAAACCCACCGACCTTTACCCTGCTCCAGGGAGTCAGCACTGGCTCTGCCCTAAGGCCCTGGCTATGTTCTGCTTGTCTCAGCACCAGAAAGATGTGAATCCTGTTGGGAAGATTCTAGAGGACACAAGCTCAGGGAAGTGCCTGCTTAGCTTTGGGCATCTGCAGAGGTGCGAAGTGCAGGCCCACGTATGCTCTGGAGCAGAGACTGCCTGGTGTCAGTGCAGCCTGGGGAAGGGTATATGCCTCAGGAAAAGCTGCCACCAGCATCTGGTCCTCAAAAGGTGATTGGGGCAGACCCTGGAAGTGAGAGTGAAGCCCCCCATTGCCTGTCCTTTGAAAGTTCCAGATAACTGGATGGTGAATTGTCCAGAAATTTGTGGATCAGCTTGCCTCTGTGATACTAGTATAGTGACTGCCTGGATGGGAGATGAGAGAAGCCTAATGTAGAATATCAGCACCCTTGGAATTTAGTTTGGATGATTATAAAAAGCATGTGTTAAAAGGAACATAATTCAGGATTCATTAAAGAATCTTCTGGCAGGTATTACTTAGGCCCATTGGGATAGATATGGGGATTTCTGCAATGGGGTCTGCCGTGGGAGAGAGATGGACTCAACCCCAGTACAGCAGGGTCAAGCGGGTTTATGGTCAAGGACGTGGGGTATCAGTGGATGGAAAACTACTGGGAGACATCAGGGGCCAGCGGGGTTCTAGCTAAATTGACATAACAGGGTTTCTGCTGGGGAGAGTTCAGTGTGGTCAGGTGTCACCTGCAGAGGTGGGAGGTGGGAAAATGTGGAACCCCATCAGATATCAAGGGAATGATGTCAGCAATGGGGCCCCTGGCTTAACTGACTGAGCAGGGTTCTTGCTAAAAGAGTGTAATTCAGAGATGAGCATGGGCCCATTGGAGGGAGGATTTAGAGGGGCCTTCTGGTCCAGTTCAGGAGAGGCTGTCACCTGTGCCACTGAGTGCAGGAAGATGGATGGTGAGTAGGAGACTAACAGAAGTCTTACTCCCCAGGCAGAGGAGGAGCGGGATGACATGGAGCGGGTGAAGCTGGACAACAAGAGGATCCTGTTCAACCTCCTGCCAGCCCACGTTGCTCAGCACTTCCTTATGTCCAATCCCCGGAACATGGTGAGCATGTGGCTCCGTGGCACTTGCCCCCATGTTGCTAGGATCCAGCTTGGTGCTTGCCAGGCTGGCTGATCCGGTGGGTGCTCTGGGTTTGCAGCTAGAGTTTGACTTGAACCCTCCCTGTACTTCTCTGCCTTAAGTTGCAGAGTGTGGTGGGTTTTGGACCTATGACCGCGTGATGGTTGAATGGTCTCTTCTTGTCCCCAAAGGCAGCCTAGCTCTGGGCCATCAGGAGGCTCCTGAGACAAGATGCCCCAGAATTAGTATGTCCTCTGATCCGTAGAGAGAGCGTAGCGCTTGTCATTCCCGTGAGGAAAGTGAATGGGCTTTGGTAAGCCATTGTTCAGTCCAGTCTGAACTGATCAGACCTTCCTGATTGTGTGGTCCTGTTGAGTAAAGCTCTGAACCACTCTTAACACAGAGCAGAGTTCTGCTTTGAAAATTGGGTTCAAAATTAAAGAGGTTTGGGTCAGCTTTTTAGTTCCTCGAGGCACAAATGAAACTCCGAGTTTCAGTTTGGCCTCCTTTTGCCCATAATAGCTCCTGGGGCTCATTTTTCACCTGTTTGGGCCTTGGACTGTCTTGAGCAGGTTGCTTTCTTAAAACTCCATGTCCTTCCCTGCTCCCTTCCTTCCCCTCTGTCTGCAGCTGAGGTGGAAAAAAATCTAGTCCCAGAGCTCCTCAAATCCCTTTTCTTGTGGCTCAGTATCCCCAGTCTTCCAGGCAGAGCTCTTGGACATTCCAACCATGTCTGAGGACCTGGTAGCCAACCAGCACCCTGAATGCTGCTCGCCTTCCTGACCAGTGGCTGACCTGACCTTTGAACCCCCAGGACCTCTACTACCAGTCGTACTCGCAGGTGGGCGTCATGTTTGCCTCCATCCCCAACTTCAATGACTTTTACATTGAGCTGGATGGCAACAACATGGGAGTGGAGTGCCTGCGGCTTCTGAACGAGATTATTGCCGACTTTGATGAGGTAAGGGCCACCTCCTGTGTGGGCCCAAGGATTGTGTGCATTCTAGCAGGGGCTGATGGTGATCCTTCTCTTATATTCTGATGTCCAGCAACCTGTCACTTCTCTATGGGCAGAATGGAGAGAAAGCACAGCATTTCTCTCCTTGGGAATCCAAACTGACCATGACAGTTGGAGAATGTCTTTGCCTGATGGTGAGGGGCATGGCGGCCAGGCAGGCTCTGGGTTCTGGAGACTGGGTGCTGGCCCAGCCCTCTGTCTTGTGAATGCCAGGCCTGGGCGGCCCTCCTACAGGGGAAGTGATTCACTTTCTTTGGTCCCCGCTCTCCTCTTGAGTGATCCTGAGAGCTGCCCCTAGAGCACAGGAGTCTGCTCTGCATGTCTTGTCTCCTCTTTCAGACTCCCATCCTTGCCAGAGCCCTCCAGCCTCCATTTCTCAGTTTCACCATAGGTCTTGTCTAGTGCCCCAAACAAAGAATATATTTTCAGAATGTGTTTGTCTACTCTGAGGTTATTCCTAGTGACTGAAAACTACAGTGATTTGTCTAAAATGTTATGTAACGTTTAACAGTTTTGTGTTTTTAACAAAGCTCATGGAAAAAGACTTTTACAAGGATCTGGAGAAGATCAAGACCATCGGGAGCACCTACATGGCTGCAGTGGGGTTGGCTCCCACGGCTGGGGCCAAGGTGAGTGCTGTCAGGGGTGCTTGTTCAGGGATCAGTTCCCAGCTCTGCCCTAAACCGCTCTGGGACCCTGGACAGTCTCCCCACCCTGGCCTTATTGGGCGGCAGCATGTAGGCCAGCTCACTGGTGGCCAGCTCTCTCAGATACAATCTCCCATGGAAAGTCAGCACAGAGAGCAGGTACAGAGGCTTCCTCCAGCCTGACCCCTCTCCATGGGCTCTCCCCCTCCCCACCAGCACCCTCCCCAGCAACCTCACCCCCTACCCTCCAGTTTCCCTTCTTCCCCACCAGCCTACCCCCTGCCCTACCATCCCAATGTTACTCAGTGATCCTCCTTCCCAATGCAGAATTGTGAATAAAGTTCTCAAGTTACCCCTAAGAAAAGACACAAGATAGGAAGATGTTAAAAAAATGTAATGAATGGAAAACAATTATAAATATGATAGCTACTAAGTCAGACGCTAAACCAACTGCATCAGTAATCACTCTCCATGTAAGAGGCAAATACACCAATTGAAACGCAGGCAAACATAAAATGATCCAGCCAGATTTTCTGCAGGAAACACACTTTAAATATAAAGACACAGCTCTTTTTAAAGTAGTGGATTGTAGAAAGAGGTACTATTCTAAGACTAATGAAAAAAAAAGAATTTAAGTAGTTAGCTTAATTTCAAACAAAGCAAACTTCAGAGCAAGGAAAATTTTTAGAGATAAAGGATAAAGGAGTCAATACTGCAAGAAGTCATAACAATCTTTAATGTTTATGGAAATAAAAATACATGAGGCAAACCTGATAGAACTGCAAGGAGAAATAGTTGAATCCGTCCTACAGAGACTTGTCTGTAATTGATAGATACAATGAGCTGAAAATCAGGATAGTTAAGCTGAGCAGCATCTCAATCAAGTGGATATAATTGACATCTGTAGACATTTTATCTAACAACAGTAGAACACTCTCCATTTGAAGCTTACAAGAAAAGTTTAGCAAGGCAGCCCAATTTCTGGGCCATAAAACACATCTTAACAAATTTGAAAGAATTTAAATACTATAAAGTATGTTCTCAGATCATAATAGAATTAAACTAAAAATGTATTATTGATAAGAAATCATTGGGAAATCCCAAAATATTTGGAGGTTAAGCAATATACTTCTAAATGACTTCATTGGTCAAAGAAGTCTCAAGAAAATTTTAAAATATTTTGAACTAAACAAAAATATAATTTAGCACATTTTGTGGGATGCAGCAAAAACAGTGCTTAGAGGGAAATTTATATCATTGGATTCATAGAAAAAAATACCAGTCATCTGAATATACACCTTAGAAAACTAGAGGAGGAAGAGCAATATAAGCCAAAAGCAAGCAGGAAAAATAAGTGCTAGAGTCCAAATCAATGAAGTTGAAGAAAATCAATGAAATAAAAATCTGGCTCTGTGGAAGGATCAGTAAAATTTATAACCTCTAACCCTGTTAAGCAAGACAAAAAAAAAAAATAAAGTAAGACATTAATATTTAAAATGAAAAAAAAAGGTTATTTCTACTGAACTTATGGACATTAAAAAGATAATAAAGGTATATTATGAACAACTCTCTGCCCACAAATTTGATAACTTGCATCAAATCGACCAGTTTCTTGAAAGACAATCTACCAAACCTCATGCAGGGGAAATAATCTTTACATCTCTTAAATAAATTGAGTCAATAATTAATAAATTTCCAAAATAGAATGTACCAGGCCCACATGGGTTCACTGGTGAGTTCTGAACATGTAAGGAAGAAATTTCTAACTCTCTAAATTCTCTCTCAGAATATTAATGTAGGGAAAATATTTCCTAACTTACACTAAGTCCAACATTACCATAATATCAAAACCAGATAAAGACATTGTAAGAAAGGACAGACTCAGTCAGTGTATTTCATGAATATAGAGGCATAGTCCTCAACATATTAGCCAATTAAATACAACAGTGTTTGAAAAGAATCATTCACCATAGACAAGTTGAATTTATTCCAGATTTTCAATGCTGGCTTAACTTTTTAAAATGAATTAATGAAATTCACATATCAACAATATAAAGAAGAGAAATCATGACAATATTATTTGATGGAGAAAATCATTTGACAACATCCAATACCTATTCCTAATTTAAAACAAATTCAACAAACTCTGGAATAAAAGGAAACTTTCTCAACTTGAAGAACATATATCAAAACCTGTAGCTTACTATCATGCTGACTGGAGAAACAATGCCTTCCCCCAAGAAAGCCCCTCTGACCACTTCTATTGACATTCAGATTGTAAGTCTTAGTTAATGTAATAAGGCAGGGAAAAGAAATAAAAGGTATATACCCTGGTAAAGAAGATACAAAACTGTCTTTGGTTACAGTTGACATGATTGTCAATATAGAAAATAAAAAAAGAATAAAAGAAAATCTGAAGCTAATAAGCAGTTACAGCAAGGTTGTAGGATACAGGTTAATACACATAAGTCAGTTGCTTTCCTATGTACTAGCAATGAAAAAATGGAATCTGAAATTAAATCACAAAACCATTGCCCCAGAATTAAATGCTAGTTATAAACCAAAATGTGATGTAACAAAGTACATACAATGGCTCTATGAGGAAAACTATAAAATTGGTAAAAGAAATTAAAGAAGAGCTAAGTAAGTTGAGTAAAATTTAATGTTTAGGAAGACTCAAAATTATTAAGACATCAGTTATTCTCAACTTGATCTATAGATTCAGTGTAATCCCAGTCAAACTTTCAGAAGATTATTTTGTGTACCTGCTTCTAATTTTATATGGGGACACCAAAGACCCAGAGTAGTTAACACAATATGGGAGAAGTAGAAAAGAGCTGGAAGACTGACACTACATGACTTCAAGTTTTACTAGGAAGCTGTGATATATAGGACAGAGTGATGTTGGCAAAAGAACAGTCAAATAGATCTTTGGGACAGAATAGAGAGCCTAGAAATATACCCACCCACATAAATATAGTCAACTGATTCTGGCAAAGAAGCAAAGGATAAAGATAGTCTTTTCAACAAGCAATGCCAACTGTATATCTATATCTATAGCTCTCTCTCTCTCTATATATATATATATATAAATATTTAAAAAATGAATCTAAGAACAAAAATTAACTTTAAATGTATCATAGAACTCAATGTAAAATGCAACTTTATAAAACTTTTAGAAAATAAGAGAAAATCTGGATGATCCCATGGACTTGATGATATTTTAGATACAACGCCAAAGATATGCTTCATGAAAAACACTATTGTAATTTGGATCTAATTAAAATTTTGTTCTGTGATGGGTGCTATAATGAAAAGGCAATCTATACACTGGGGGACGATCTTTGCAAATCACCTATCCGATAAAGGATTTGTTTCCAAAACATACAAAGAACTTTTAAAACAAATAGCCCAACTAAACAGAGGACAAAAGATCTCCACAGATACCTTACCAAAAAAGATGCACAGAGGGTGAAAAAGCACAGGAAAAGATGCTTCCCACTCTATGTCATCAGGGAAATCTAAGTAAAACAACAGTGAGATTCTGCTGTGCACCTATTAGAATGGCCGTAATCTGCAACACAGACAATGCCAAATGCTGACGAGGATGTAGGGCAGGCTGGCAGGAACTCTCCCTCCCTGCTGTTGCAGTGCACATTGGTACATCCACTTCGGAAGATAGTTTGGCAGTTTATAAATAAGTTAAGTATACTCTTACCCTATCATCCAGCAATCATCCTCCTAGGTATTTACCCAAATGAGCTGAAAACACACAAACTTGCACGTGAATGTGTATAGCAGTTTTATACTTGTTTTGTCAAAACTTGGAAGCAACCAGGATACCCTTTCATAGTTGAATGCATAAATAAAATGTGGCAATCCAGATGGTGTAATGTAATTCAGTGATAAAAAGAAACGAACCGTGAAGCCATGAAAAGACACAGGAACCTCCAGTGTAGGCTGCTGAATGGAAGAAGCAACTATGAAAAGGCTACACACTGTTTGATTCCAACTCAATGATATTTTGGAAAAGGCAAAATTATGGAGACAATAAAATCATCGGTGGTTGCCAGGGATTGGAGGGAGAGCGATGAATAAGTGAATCCTGGGAGATACTGAGGTTAGTGAAACTATACTGTTCTGTAATTGCGGGTATGTGAAGGTACATTTGTCAGAACCCATAGACTGTGCATCACCCAGAGTGGACCCTAATGTAAACTGGGGACTTCAGGAAATAATAATCTATCAGTTTTGGTTCATTAATATAGCAAATACATCAAATCCTAAAGCAAGAGGCTAATAATAGGGGGCACTCTGTGTTTATGTGTGTGTAGGGGTGGGTAGTATATAGTAATTCTTTGTACTTTCTACTCAAATTTCAGTCCTAAAAATTTAGAAGTTTTGGTATCGATTAAATATAGAGTCGTCTTTGTTTCACAAAACAGTCGTAGAAAGAAAGGGAAGGTGTTGGGGGTTATTTTTTAGTGTGATCATTCTAGAACATTGGCAGTGGGTGTTTGAAATATATACACATATCTAGGTGTGAAGCTGTACTCTTAAAATTATGTAGTATTATAAGCCAATACTAAAGCAATGAAATTTAATTTAACAGGAAGAAAGAGAGGAAGAGAAGGAGGAGAGTCTAGTGGAGGAAAGAGGAAGGAAAGAAGGAAGATGAGAAAAGGGAAAGCAAGGAAGGAAAGAAAGGGAAGAGAGCGGGGGCGACACTGGAGGACTGGAGTTGCTCCCTGGGCGGGAGTGCTCTTCTGAGCCCGTGGCACTGGCCTTGCCTTGTGTGTTGATGATGGGCTAGTGACAGAGTTGTCCAATTAGACAGGAGACCACCTGTAAAGAACTTGCATCCAAAATATATAGGCCACATCTGGTGTGGTCAGTGTTCTGCATGTGCACAGTGGTGTCTGATTGTTCCAATTTGGGTCTCCTTGATGACCTATGGTGAGGAGCATCTTTTTTTTTAATAATTAATTTCTTAATTTGTATAATTTTTACATCAGGTATAGTCCCCATAAAATTTCCACCACAATTCACCTGTGCACCATCACGTGCTTCTCCCACCCTGCCCCTCCCCTCCCCTGCCGAGTGTCCCTAATTTATAGTTTCTGATTATTTTTGTTTAGTTTTGTCATTTTTTTAGGTGGTTGTTATTTTTTCCCTGATCCCTTATTTTATTCCCCTATATTCCTCCTGTAAGTGAAATCATCCAATATTTTTCTTCTTCCTTTTGACTTATTTCACTGAGCATGATCCCTTCTAGCTCCATCCATGTTGTTGCGAATGGCGTTAGATTATCTTTTTTTTTTGTTGTTGTTGAATAGTATTCCATTGTGTATGTGTACCACATCTTTTTGATTCAGTCCAAATACTATGTATGGAAAGCTGTGTGGTGGTTCCTCAGATTACTAAAAATGGAGCTGCCATATGACTCAGCAATTCCACTCCTGGGGATCTACCCAAAGGACACAAAACATTAATTCAAAAGGATACCTGCACCCCTATGTTTATTGCAGCACTATTTATAATAGGTAAGATGAGGAGCATCTTTTCATAGCCATTTGCCACATTTATGTCTTCTTTGGTGAAGCATTGAAATCTTTAACCCTCTGTTTAATTGGGTTATTTATTTTTTATTGCGGGTTTTCTTATTTTATATTTTGGATAAAACCCTTCATCAGGTAAGTGGTCTACAGGTTTTCCCTGAGTCCTCAGAAGCCAGGAGCTTCGGGTGTTCCCGTCTCCTAGTTGTAAGCCTGGATGGTAAACATGTCTGAGGGCAGCTAGGGAGGCCAAGACACTCTTGATGAAACCCATCCCACCCACCCAGGCTGCAGTCCCTGGAATCTGAAATTAAATCAGATGTGGATAAAGTCCCCCATCCCACCACAGGAACAGGCTGTCCCCCTGCTGAGTGTTCCTGCCCTCTCTGCCCTTGCATGGTCCACCCATAATAACCCGAGTCTGCTTTCACCCAGGCTCAGAAGTGTATCTCCTCCTACCTCAGCACGCTGGCGGATTTTGCCATCGAGATGTTTGATGTCCTGGATGAGATCAACTATCAGTCCTACAATGACTTTGTGCTCAGAGTCGGTATGTGTCTCACCCCGGCCCTGGGGCTGTGGCCTGGGCCCTCCCTGCTAGGAGCAGCAGTCAGCAGGAAGGAAGGTGGTGCCGCAAGAGGAGTGCTTGGGGGTGCAAGACAAGTTCTGCCGTAGACAGGTTGCCTTAGGAATGGGGAGAGTTACTGTCCCGCTCCTGAGGTACATGCAGAACTTGATGGTCTAAGTGACTTTCAGATGCACCTCCGAGTCCATGAGCTGGAGGAAAGTGCTGCCCCCAAACATGGGAGTCTCTGCCTGGCCAGCCACCCAGAAAGAGGCTTGGCAGGAGCCCAGCTGCCGGGACCCAGGCCTTCATCGTCCTCCTGGGCTCCCTTCCCTGCCCTGTGAGGAGGGAGACATTAGAAGCCTAAGTTCCTTCCCAACCTTTATGAGACCATAGGGTATATTTTTAAATTTTAAATTCACTTTTTTTTTTTCTGGGATATAGATAGTTTACCAGAAAAATTTCTGTTAGTTTTAGGATACAGTTAAGCTAGAGATTTTCCTTTCCTCCCTCTTTTTCCCTTTCTCCTCCCTTCCCTTCTACTAGTCTAGGTACATTTAAACTGGGATTTAAATGTATGTATTTATGGTTGTTTATAGTTGTTTTGTTAGTGTGCAGAGTGGGATACCCCAGGGCCCCCAAACCTGCATGATCTAAATAGTTTCTGCCGTCTACTGCATAGAGACAAAGTATACTCTTGGTGTGAAATAACTTTAACAGAATACTGTGTGTAGAGAGAAGAAAGGATAATAGTTTCCCAATAAAGCACCCCAAATTAGCTGTCCCCTAGTGGGTAAATGCCCAGCCAAACAGGGCTGGCCCAAAGCAGGGCCACCTTCTGGCAGGGAACTATAGGAACAGAGCAGAAGGGACCAGGAAAGGAGCAAAATCAGAGTGCAGAAGTCACGGTAAAGGCTGCCATTGTTAGCTTCCCCACCTGTGTGTCTCTCATCCATGTATTTCTTCCATGTTCCCCAAGTCCCTGATGCAATTCTGGGCCGGAGAAGCAAGCAGGACTTCTTCCTCTGTCTCTGCTCCATGTGTCCCCTCCTGTGTCTCTTCCTGTGTCTGTTCTCCAGGTATTCTACATCTTCACCTGGCCGCTCAGCTCCGCCCCTCCGTAGGTGGGCCAGGGAACATGGAATTTCCCCCTTTCGTGGAGATTACTCTCTAACAGTTTTAAGTTTCACGTGTCTAGTGTCCTTACAAACAGACCTGACAACTGGGTTTGAGTGTAGGAGGTGGTAGCAGGTGCTTATGAGGATGGGCAGAATATTCAGGCTGCTGGGTGGGGCAAATGCCTGCCATGTCTCACCTAAGCATTCAGGCTGCCTCCTCAGGGCCTCAGACACAGACTAGTAGAGATACCAGATGTGACAGGAAATAGGGGGAAGGCTCCCTCAGGGAAATTCCATTCTTTGCTCTCTAACAGCAATCCTAAAGATCAGCCCAGCCTCTGTACTTGTATGGCCAGTCTCTTGGGCCCTGGATGCATGTGCTCTAGGGTCCTTCGCTCAGCAGAGGGGCTCAGTCTCATAAATCTGGGCAGGAGCATCCAGGCTGATGGGGGGCTCCCATGTCCACCTGGACCTGGCAGAGCTTTCCCCAGCTCACACCACTGAATTCTGTCCCCACACTTCTCCCATGTCACACCAGCTCCCCACTGTCCAGGCTTTGGGGATTAATTAGGCCAGTGGCTGAAATGTTATTAACACCCTTGCCTAAGCTCAGAAAAATGCATGGGTGAGTGCAGAATGGGAAGGTGTGATGTGGGCTGGCTGAAATAGAAAGTCCCAGTCACCAGCTAGGGCCTCAAGAACCACCTTCTGAGCATCCTGAAGTGCCCTGATCTCTTCTGGCTTACATACCTTCAAATGCACATAGACCATGGGTGCTCTGGTGGTGGGAAAATTATGGCAACTACACCTGAGGGGAGGAATCCTGTCTTGTGAAAAAACAAACAAGTATGTAAAATAATGATGTGTCATTAATAGTAGTAGTAGTAGTAGTAGTAATAATAATAATAATAATAATATAAAGACATGTGGGATTGCATCCAGGGAAGTGGGAGTTACTGTTCTTTCTGGAACCGTCTGGGGACATAAGGTGATCTTGTAGAAAGAACAATCAGCCTTCTTAGTAAGCAGGACTCAGCATGGGGCACTTTCCAGGAAATGGGACTTTTTCTCTAGATCATTCCTGTCAGTGGTGCCACATCCCCCGGGGGTGATGTGCAAACAGAACTGGGAACTGTGAGATACCTGCTTGAGGAGGGGGCATTGTGCTAGGGCAGCAACTCCCCTAGGGAGCTTTCCCCAATAACGGTGTGCTCTCTCATGGCTGTTTCGCAGGTATCAATGTTGGCCCTGTGGTGGCTGGAGTAATAGGTGCTCGCAGACCGCAGTACGACATCTGGGGAAACACAGTCAACGTGGCCAGTCGGATGGACAGCACTGGTGTCCAGGGCAGAATCCAGGTCAGCTCACTCAGAAGTCCCCCAGGTACAGGTGCCTAGGCTGCAGGTGGGGAGACTGAGATGGAAGAAGCAAAGGGGTGAGCCTGGACAGGACTGGGCCACCTGCCCAGCCCACAGCCCTGCACCCTCCCTCCCTGCCTGCTTCTCCTGCATGGGGACATGAAGCTGCATGACTCGGGGAAACCTGGGGGTAGTGCTGGAGCCCAGCAGCTGTATTTGGGCTTTGGTTTGCTCCATGGCCACCATGTGCCATAAGCAGAGTCAAGGAACAGGATGAGTGATGGAGTCCCATCAGCCTCCAGCATCCCCAGGACCTGCCTGCTAGCCCCACTGTCTTAGGGGTTTCCTCGGTATTAGAAGGGCGTTGTGCTATGAAGGCCACCTGATCTAGGCCCCGTGGGTGGGGGTCACTTGGGATGAGGGCCTGGGCTATGACATCCTCTAGATAACAGTGCTGTGGCTTTTCATCAGCATGTGGGCTGTGGTCCAGCTAGCGGTGTTACCTTAGAACAAAAGTGGAACTGGGTCAGCTGGGTTGGCTGGGCATGGAACACTTGACCCTAAGGCCTGAGCCCTAAAGCCTCTGGTGTTAGGAGGAAAGGTATCTGCCCCTGTGTGTGGCTGTGACTGGCCTCTGGGGGTCTGTGGGGATGAGGGAGAGTGAGTGGTTCCTTCCTGCTGTGGCTGAATCTCGGAGCGGGTGTCTTGTCTAAGGAGTCCAAATTCAGCTGCTGTCACTGAGCAGTGCCATGAGGACCCCCCAGTGCGCCCCCCCCCAGACCCTGCCAGACATGTGTATTCCCCTAGGTCTTGAGGGAGGTACCAGGTGCAGGACTGCAGGTCATTGTCTAGACAAGAAGACTGCTGGCCAGCACCCACAGGGGCCCCTGTTCAGTTCTGCCCCTCCCAGCACTCTGGGTCCTGACGCTCAGTCAGGTCACTGTGTATCTCTTGACTCTATCACTTGAAATATTCATGGAGTTCTCTTGATTAGAACACAGGCAAGTCTTCACATCTTGCTCATCAGATCTTGTATATCGGCTTTTATTTTCTGCTATTGTGGTGAAATACACATAACGTTACCACCTTGGCTGTTTTCATGTGGACAGCCCCGCAGCACTGAGTGACCCCCACATGCTCCCTCCCAGGAAGCTGTGCTCCTTTCCTCATGTGATCTTTCCCCGATGCACCTCAAAGCCTCCCCTGGGATTGGTAGCTCCATCAGGGAGATGTTGACAGAAACCCTGGCCACTCTACAGCCTGGCCTCTGTCCCACGCCAATGTCACATTTCTATGTTTCTAAAATCAGACCTGGGTGAGCTTGTCTTCTGCTCAGAACCAGGTCTGTGGCCCCTGGATAGGCTGTGCCTGGGTCTCCTCACCCGATGGCCCCCACTGCTCCACTGCAGAGCTGTCCCACCGTGTGGCCCCACCAGGGCATCAGACCCTTGAATCTCCCTCCTGATCCTCCCTTACCTGATCAGACCTCCCAGCTCCCCTGCAGTATAGCAGGGGCCACCATTCCACAGCTGTTCCCCCTTCCATTGGTGGGGCTACTTCCCTGCTCCCTAATCCCCCACCCATGCAGAGTCACTGCAGGGAACACAGAAAGGATTCATGAGCGTGTTTCCTGGAACCACAGCTTTGTGTGCTGCCAACCTGGGGTCCTTGCTGATGTGCGGGTGGCAGCAGCCCCTGCAAGGAGCCATGGGCTTTTTCTGAAACTCCAAGCAGCCCCCATGCATCCCCAAAGGCATCAGTCAGCTGTGAAGGGCCACAGAAGCCATTGGCGGGGAATGACGTCATCCTGCCATAGGGAGTGGTGACAGGGATGGTGACCTGCATAGTAAAACCAGCCTGTGCTCCTCCATCCTCCCTCATCCTCACTTGCAGGACAGTCAGGTTTGTGCATGCTTTCTGTGGAGGGAAGCCTATTCTTCTAGATCCATGGGCTGATTTTTCTGGCCCAGGAGCTGTGCAGGTTCTGGGTTGGTGGTGGGTTTTGTTTTCTCTGCTGTCCCGACAGTTTCCAGCAGAGCAGGTCTGCTTTGTCCTAACTCACTCCTTCCTTTCCCCCTTCATTTATTCCTTCCTTCACTCAACTGGTACTTGTTAAATGACACCTGTGTGCTGTGATAAACTGTGGCCAACAACCAGGCCAACATTGGTGTGGGGGCACTTACTGCCCCTGAGGGGATCCAAGTCATGTGCAAAGAGGCAGCTGATGTTAGCAAGGAGGACAGCCAGATGCCCCACACAAAGCAAGGTGTGAGTCGGCGGGCAGGGACAAGTGAGGCCTTGTTGCCTCAGCTCTCTGGGAACCGATGCGGCTTTGACCCTGTGAGAGCATGGCTCAGAGTGGACTGAGATAGCTAAAGACATCAAAGATTGGGCAGCCATGTATGTGTGTCTGTGTGTGTGGTTGGGGGTTCCTGGGGATATTTTCAGAGCAACCTGGGAGATGGGGGTGGTCCTCTGCATAGTAAAACCAAGAAACCAAACCTGTTCTCTTCTGTTAATTGAACTTTATTAGAAAGTGCTTTCACAACCTTATCTTATCTCTAGCTTTGTTAGGCAGGCATTCCAGCTAAAATGGTTAGGAGTCTGAGAATCAGGGGAGTCAGGCCAGGACACCGTGTTCTCTAATGACTTGCCCCTTGCCCTGGCAGTACTGGTGCCTCCATATCCTGCCCATATGGTATAAAGGGCTTCCTGGTGCACCATTTTGCACCTCCACTTGGGTCACTGAGGGCTCTGTGTCAGCAGTGGGGGGAAACCTCTTCTATCCCAACTCTATTTCCTGCTGTCCCCCTTCATGAGCTGGTAAAACATCTGGGCCCTAAAACATCTAGGACTACTAAGGTGCTGAGAGTGCTGGCCCAGAGGCCAGTCTTGTTCCTGTCTGTCCACAGCCAGAGTTGGATCCTGTCCAGCCATCTGGCCTGACTGTGGGGTGACTACGGAGTTGACATTGCTGGTGCCAGTCATTACCTGCCATGTCCAGCCTGCTCGCCCTCTCTGGGCACCCTGATGGTAAACACTGTCTTCTCAGCTTGCCAGGGCTAACAGGAGGCAGGACTCCCCACATTGTTCCTGTTCAGGCCCCAAGTCCCATGGCCTCTTCTTGTAGTTTCACATCCTTCTTAGTGACCAATGACCGTGGGGCAGCAGAGGCCCTAGCTTCCAGGCCAGGCCTGAGAGATTGGGTGGTGGGGTGTGGGGGGAGGGAAGCTTCCATGGGCTCCCACCCCCCACCCCAGGTCCACCCTCTGTGGACTGAGAATAACCCCCACTTTCCTCTGCTGCAGGTGACTGAGGAAGTACACCGGCTGCTGTGCCAGGGTGCGTACCACTTCGTGTGTCGAGGCAAAGTCAGCGTCAAGGGCAAGGGGGAGATGCTGACGTACTTCCTGGAAGGCAAAACCAATGGAAACAGCTCCCAAAACAGGTCCCTGAACTCAGAGCGGAAAATGTGTCCTTACGGGAGAGCCGGCCTTCAGACCAGACTGGCCACCGGCCGCCCTCCAGTGCCCCCTGTGGCCAGCCTACCTGTCAGAGCAAGTCTGGGGACTTTGCAAGGCTCGAGGCTCACCCCTGGGCCCCCCAGCCAGCACCTGCCCCCTGGAGCAGCTGGGAAGGAGGCTTAGTGGTATCCACGCTGGCCACTGGGGGCACAGGGCGTGTGTGCTCAGGACCTCCAGCGGAGACCAATCTAGCCAGCAGAGCAGGCGGCTGGTGACTGGGCTGGGGAAGGGGCATAACCTGGAGCAGCTTGACAGTAACTCAGATGAAGGGAGAAACCCATCTGCATGGATGGTGGGGCTTTCATAGGAGTTCTGCTTGCTCCATTTTCTCTTCAGTGGTAGAGGGTGGGTCAGCATAGCGTGTTAAAGCTTCAGTACATCCACCAAGACTACAGTTTTACAGGAGAGCCATGGAGGTCTGGCTGGCAGAGTGACCAGATGCCCTGAGATGGATCTATTCAACCTTGAGGGCGGTTCCCACCCTGGGCAGTGGTGTGCAGGAACCCAGAGTGGGAGTCAGGTCTTGCTCAGCTTGGAGCTGGCTGGCCCTGAGATTAATGGTTGGCAGAATTGAGATGCCCTGTCCCACTGCGTGGATGGTAGTGGCTGCTGATTTTCATCAAAAGCGTATTTCACTGAGAACCAGAGGCTGGTCTTCTGGAATTCTTGGAAGAGGGTCGGGGAACTCGGCAGCCATGTTGTATTGTGACCAGCATCATCGTATTCAGCCTGTGCATTCACCTGCCCCACCTGAACGAACTGGTCCTCATAAAGCCTGGGCACCTCCTTCTCTGCCTCTGTGGCTGTGTTGGTCATTGGAGAAAGGTGGTAGGGTGTTTCTCCCCTGTCTGCCATGGTGCCTCTGTGTCTGTGCATGTAACAGTGGTGTGAGGCTTCACTGATCCTAAGAACTGGAGACCCTCACAACTATGAGAAAGCTTCCTTGATGGAAGATGTTTCTCCGATGACCAGCCCCCAGATGTGTTTTTTTTTTTTTTTTTTTTTTTTTTCAGTTTATGGCCACAAACCCATGTGGCCCTGCTCCACTTTGCAGGGAGAGACTGCAGGTGTGAGTCTTGGAATTGCTCTCACGCATTTCTGTGACTGCCCTGGAGTTGGAGTCCAAGGACATGCCAGATGCACTGTTAGGGGTTGGGGGTGGAGTCCCTGGCGGGGGCGGGGAGGGGTTGTAGGAAGGGACTGGCCAAAATATCTAGTTTGAGCATCTGGAGACCTCAGATCTCGACTGCAGGGAGGAAAGCAGCTTGAAAGGAAGGGAAGGTCTGGGGCAGGCACATTGGGAGGGGGCATCCAGAGAGCACAGCTTTGACATGCAGCAGGAGGGATCTCAGGACTGCAGGTCACCTGTACCAGCAGGCCTTGAGGGCTATGTCTCACCCCATCCTTCCCTGGGGGTCCCACTTGTTCAGGATTGGCACAGTTATTCACTCCGGACTGCCCTGTGGGGTGTCCTCCAGTTTGCTCCCCTCATGGGTAGGAGAGCCATGTCACCTGGGGGCAGCAGCCTGCTGGCAGTAGGGTCCCTGCTGTTGTGGGGAAACCCAGCTCAGGAGCTCTTTGGGGCAGCCCCAGTGTCAGCCTCCAGGTTGGGTGTGGAGGGGTCAGTGATGTAGGAATCGGGACAGAGTGGATGGAGTTTCTTTAGACACCCCCATGGAGCATCATGCTCTGTGGACTGGTGACACCCACCACTTGATTGAGAAGGACTCGAAGGCGAATTTCCCCACGACCCTTAGCAATAGGGCAACATTCCTTCAGGGAAAACTGAGTCAGGAGCCCTGTGCTGTGTGCTGGCTCTCAGTTCTGTGCATAGGGGCCCACCTGTGCTGGCTGTGGGGCTGGAAGCCTGGCCTTGACCTTCGGCAGTGACCTTGTCTGGCTGTGCTGGGTCTCTGCGCCAGGCTTCCACCAGGGGTGGGGTGTGTGTGAACAGGACAGTGATCCTGACCCTGTGAATATACTTAGCTACATGGCAGAGGGGACTTTGCAGGGGGAATAAAAGACATGGGCTGTAGCTGGGGTAGGGTCGGGGAGAAGTCCTGAGCTATCTGGTGGGCTCAGTGTGGCCATGGGCACCTTAGAATTGTGACCAGGAAGTCTGGATGATTCCGAGCATAAGATTGCTGCTTTAATGATGCACAGCTCTCCCACAACTACAGACGTTGAATCTGGCATCAATCCGAGTGTGCCGGTGGTAGATCACCCTGAGCCTCCCGGTGAAAGCCAGCCTGAATAGTACCTCAGGTCCTCGGGCCTTGAGACCCTGCACATGCCGTGCAAAGCCACCAAATGCGTGGCTCCCTGTGCAGCAGCAGGGGGAAGCCATCCAGGCGCTCGACTGTTCCGAAACAGCGAGGTTTCTACTTCAATGAGCAACATCTTCATCATCAGCAGTTCCAAACCCTACTTGCTTCCTGTGGGCACAGGAGTCGTGTTTAGCCATAATTCCGCTCCTTGGGGTTTGGTGAACAACTTCCTTTTTATTTGTGATGAGACTGTATTATATTGCCTTATTTATTTTTAATGTTGTACAATATTCATGTACAAATGTTAGAGCCTTTTGAGTAGGATTCTCTCTATTTAAGATGCTCTGTAAATAGTGCACTGGTTACGGGTGCCCCTGTCCACTCCTACCAAAAATGAAGAATCCCTCCCCCGTGTGAATGGTGCACTTTAGCCACATGCCTGAAGTTTCTAAGCCTCACCTCCCTGCTTGATAAAGCTTTGACCCTTTGGAATGACCATGTGTGCCCCTTTGGGACCCCTGCATGCCTCCCAGGCCCTATTTCAGTAGAGTAGAACACAGCCCTGAACTTCCAAACACTTCCACAAACCCTAATCCTGGGCTGGTCCAGGTGTCTGTGTCCTAGAGCGGATCCCTCATGGGCCAGCAACCTGGAGCCTGCCTGTGTTTCTCAGACTCTAAAGCTACCAGGGCTTCCACGTATCTTCTGTAACTAGAAGCAATAACTCTAGCTCAAACTCTAGAGGTGAGACTGGTCCAAAGCAGACTGGCAACTCAGACAAATCATGAGTCAAATTTGCTCAACTGAATGATACTGTGGGGGGCGGGCCCAGCCCTTCCTGCAGTCCAGGCTCAGGGTGCCTCACACTGTGAGGTTTGCTGTCAGCACCGGCTACTGGGAGCAGAGAGCCAGTCTCAGCTCTTGTCAAGTCATCCCTGGGGGAGGAAGAAGGAAGACAAGGCCATCCTAAGATCTGTGCAGATCCATCACTCTTGTGACTGAGTCTCTCCCGTCCATAAGGTCCACATGGCCCATAAGGTATGGTGAGTGCAGGAGGCTGTCCTGTAGGAAACAATCCTCTGAACAGGTCACCTGACATTTGTGGGTAAATGGGTTGATGTGTGTGTGTGGTGGTGGGGCCTTGGCTTGAACAGAGTTCAGCTACCAATCTTTGGAGATGCCAGGTTTTGTTTGCATCTGATAGGAATCCTGTGCCATAGCCCCAAGAGCAATGTAGTATCAGTTAATCCTGCTGTAATCTGCTACTCAAGAAGGGTGGGGACTGGCCTGTCAGCCCATTTAGGTTTTCTCTGGGCTGTGTGGACCCATCTCTGTCCCAGGGTATCTCACTCTTCTGTACTGCATGTCCCAGTGGTCCCAGGTCACAGGCTCCTGCCAGTCTCTACCCAGGTGGCAAGTGCTGCCCACAACATGCATGATGTATAGGCTCAGAAAGTGAGTGCTACCTGACCGTGCACCTGCTGTCTGGGTGTGGACGAGGGAGAGGGAGAATACACACGTGTGCAACTAGCACTTACCAGGGAAGGTCACAGAACTGCTGTTAAAACATGTGATTCTGAAATGTTCAGGCCTACTAGCTGTATATACAGCAACACCCAGACACTGACTTGCCCATGATTTTTGTTGTGGCTTGCAATTAAAAAATCAGCCTCCTTAGAGGCAGTTGGTTTCAAAATATTTGGTGTGGTGAAATAAAGGGTGAGCTGTGACCAGGCTGCATCAGCTGGCTGGAAGTTGGATGGCATGGATCTGTCCCTGGACACAGAGGTCCTGCCTCCCCAGTTGCGTTTACTTTGTAAGTTTGAGTCAACAGGTCTCATTTTCATTTCATCATCAGTGCATGATGGAAAAATGTGACATTTATTCAGACAGTGTCTTGGGGTTTGCATTTGTCTTCATGGGTCTGTAGGCCAGGGATGGGCCCAAGTAAGAAGCAGGAGTCAGCTAGGGGCGTTTGTAGGGGCCCAGAGGTTAGCAAGCTGGAATGGGGACCCCATGTTAGGCAGGCCTGTGTGTAGGAAGATCAATTGAGATAAGTCAGGCCTCCAAATTGAGGTTGGGGGTCAACAAAGAGGTCGTAGCTGAGGCACGCAGACACCACACTGCCTGTCATCACCCAGTGCACATTATACAGAGTGGCGGTGACTGACCTCCTTCAGGCCCTGGCCTTTCACCACACCCACCAGTTTGCACCTGGGTTAAATGGGCCCAGGCCAGGCTGCCAGCCAAGACCTGAGGCCACAATTGTACCAAACTGAGGTCTAAGTCTGAGGGGTGTGAGGGGCAGGGAAAGACCTCAGGGCCTGTCCCTCCTGTAGGGTAGGGTGAGGGTGTGGCCAAGGGTGGACCTTCAAGAAGGCTTGTTTGGCTGAGCCCAAGGAAGAACCTCCCAATTGTGAATGTTCCAAGATAATTCTGAAGAATGTGTGTGTGTGTGTGTGTGTGTGTGTGTGTGTGTGTGTGTGTGTTCAGGGGTGAGACTTGGATTGGCAGATGCCCCAAGGAGTGCTGACAGGCCACTGTGCCTGTGATTCTGTGTGAATTGATTCAGAGACCTGATTTGAGGAGGTGAAGGCAGGCCTGTGCCCGGGAGACAATGTGGTACCAAAGGATAGGAATTTAGGGGTGCAGAGGAGCCAGAGTGCATGGGATGGAGGCTGGTATGACCAACAATGAACCAGCCATGCCCACTGGCGTGGGGCACTGTGGGCCCAACCCCAGAGGCTAAGCGCAATTTATATTTTCTCTCTCAAGGGGTCAGTTACCCATGTGGGCACAGCCCCAGACAGCCATGAATGCGGGGGAGTTCTTGGCCTCACCTCCCTGAGGCCAAGGGGTACTTTGGAAAAGATTTGAATTTTCCTTTGTCCCTGTTGGTGCACCACATACTGAAGGAAGGTCCTGTGATGTGATGTGGACATTTTCACCTGTTGTCCAGCCTGATTTCATGCACCCTTCTGGAGGCTCCACCTCCCAAAATAATTCGACTTCATGATAACAACTTATATATATATATAATATATATATTATATATATATCCATATATATGTATTTAATTTCTCTCAACAGCTAATCCATCTGTTCCTTATCAAATCTTTCAATAAGATAAAAATAATCAACCTGCAGAGAAATACCCAGTTCAAATCTCTTCTCTGTCTCTCTGTCTTCTCTCTCTCTCTCTCTCTCTGTGTGTGTATGTGTGTGTGTTTGTATGTGTGTCCCCAGGCTCAGTTTTGACCCTACCAGAGGCCAAGTGGTTCCTGGTCCTCCATCTCCAGCAACAGCTAGAGAGTAAGAAAGTCTCTTTCCTTGGTTCATTTTTAAAAGAATCTCTCTATAATATCAGTGCTGAAGTTCAGGGGCATTGAGGCATGTTTTTTATTGTTTGTGTGGTTCTTTTATTTTTGTTTTTTTGAAACACATGGATGTCTGTGGAAGTCACACAGGAATTCTGCAGGGAGGATCCCAGGGCCCTCACACCCCCTCACGCCTCCTCCACACCTCCTCACACTGCCTAGGGAGCCATTTGGAGGCCAGGCCTTCACACTGCACATTCATCAGTGTCAGTCCTGACCATGCAGTGGGAAGAGACAACCATAGACTGGTTGTCTTCCTTGGTTATGCCTCACAACTGGCTAAAAAAATCACCTTAGAAATCAGAAAACCTATTTTTTTGCCACCACTTGCCTAGCACAGCTGCAGCTGCCAGCCTGTTCCCTGCCTTCCTGAGGGGTGACAGTCACTTCAGATACCATCCTTCATTCCTTTGTGAAGTGAGTCGTTCTTCCTATGCTTCGCAGTCTGTTCTGCCCTGCTCACCCAGGGAAAGGCCCTAGTTGCTCTTGTCTAGTTAACATGTTTCTACTGGACTTTCTCATGTGACCACAAACTAAGGAAACAATTGTGACTCTCACTGAAATCTATGAGGACAGCTTGCAGAGTTCTCCCCTCAAAACAACCTGTCAAGGGAGAATGCACATTGTCAATGAGTATTCTGAGGCTCAGAGACATTACAGACTCAGGCAAGGTCACACAGCACTAAGTGGCAAGACCAGGATCCATCCTGTCCATTCCTAGTCCTTGGTTTTTTCATTATAGTCAATGTCTCTTGGCTAACAGTGAAATGTCAAAAATTGTGCTGGTTTTGATGGAGCCCTTTAGCTGCTTGGCATGCAAGTGCTCCCTGCTGTTGGGGGTACCTTTGTCAGGCTAGTTCTGGCCCCGAGGTGAGTGGGTACAAACCCACAGCTTGTCCCTGGATACGCTCTGGGCAGGGCTTTGTCCTCATGAGACCTCACATTGCTATAATAGAAGACATACCCTCTTGGCTAAGCCATGTCTCTTCTTTAACAGCTGATCCCTGAAGGACAGAAAATGTTAGGCTTGAAAAATCCCTTCCTTGTATTGCCACACTTTCTACCCTCAAACCATGTGGCTACACCATCTAGATGTTCCTAAGAGAGCTCACTCAATCAGGAGGGCAGTTGCCCACTGCTTTCTGTAAGGTCTATCTTCAAATAGGGAGCATCAGATACCCCCAAACCACACACATTTCTCCACTTCCACAGAGCCAGCCCAGCCCCCCAGTTCCTGGTGAGGAGTTGTGTGAGCTTTAGAAAGGTGGAGTTTGCTGTTTCTACTCTTGCTTTGCTGTTGGCTACTCAGTGTCACGGTCACATTCCCAGCACACTGTCAGCAGGTCAGTGTACCTTGCTGGGGATGAGAGTATGCCCAGGAGATTTCACTGGGAGTGTTCAGAAGGCATGACAGGGACCTGACAGATGGCTGAAGTTGGCAAGCTCCAGAGTAGAGTCCCAGTCCCTCCAGGCATGACTTTCCTGCTGGACTGGACAGCTGATTTTCAGATGGGTTGCTTTCTAAAATGGCTTGCCATCACTTATTGAGAACTGGTGTTTACACAGAAAGGATATCCTAGACTCATACCCCAGGGCCTAATAGACGTGAGCGGATGGTCTGAGACTGATTGTTCAGGGAGCCGAGTCTGGGGTTCTCCCTCCATGGCGGGTTAGTGGGCCCAGTGGCAGTCAGAACTTGCTTCTTGCCTCCTACCAGCAACCTCCATGCCACCCCAAGCCCTGGGCATGAAGCACAAGTCTCAGGGGACCACCCCCACATGCTGGGAATCCTGAGGCAGCCTGTGGCTGCCTCGTGCACACACTGAGTATCCCCACTCCGAGTGTCAGTGCTGGAGAGGTGTGAGGTTTACCTTTGTTCCTATTGAAACTATGGACATCCAGGTCATTTGTACCTGGAACCTCATGTCATGAAATTCTAATTGTGTGAAACTTAGCTTGAAAACACACCATGTCCACCTTGGGTATCTGCCAATTGGCACAGAACATCCCTACAATAGGGGGAACCTGAGGCCCAGCCTGCATAGCTCCTACACTGATTATGCAGAGCCCTCCTTCAGCCCATGCCCTTCCTCCCGCCTCTCGTTCACACTGATTGCACAGCGGCTTGCCCAAGTGAGGATGATGTATGGTTATGACATCCCTATGGTTCTCAGTTAAGGCGAACCCAGGGCCCGTTCCTGAGTTAAGTCCCTGGTGTAAACTAAGCCCTTCTGTGTTCAGCTAGCAATGGTTGCATCCCCACTTGGAATCCAGAATAAGGGAGCAAGTGTGACCTCCCACTGTCAGCGCTCATGGAGGATGCTTCTCTAGATGTGAAAACAAGGTATAGCAGGACAGCAGCTTTGATGTCACTGGGTAACTTCTCATTATAGATTTGTAAACTCCATACGGGTCTATTTTTACGTCAACTGAGCACTGTGGCGTATACCTTCCAGTCTTCCAAGATTGTTAAAAAATTGAGACAAGTAATTACATAATTTGTCCTATTTTTTTTTTAAGTGAATGGACTGACATTAAGTGTGAATGTACATTTCTTAATTACAACTTTTTCTACTGAGTGTTTGCACTATACTTTCTGGAATCTTATTTAACAAAATAAAGGAAAAAATTGCTTGGCTAAGCTCTGTAGTCAGTTTAATTGAACAGTGGTCGTATAGCAGGAGGTTCTCTGCCTGTCTCACTTACCCTGCATGGGAGACTCTGTCATGTCCCTCCCTGGCACAGTTCTACCCATCACGTGACAGGTAGTAGCCGTGGATGGACACATGGCACCTCTTTTTCCTACTAAACAAGAGATTCCAGGGAAATAATTTGTGTTATTTGTAACTCCCCACACCAAGTCTCTCTGATTAATGAGTCTGGCATTCTGCTATTTTAATCTTTCATAAAACAGGAAATAAATCTTTTGCTGCCCCAAATATGAATGTTGGGGTTCACCCAATTTGCCTTGTACCTCCCACACCTGGGGGTCTTTAGTTCCTGGCCACTTGGGCAAGTGGAGGTAGCCACCTCCAGGCAGAGGCCACGTTGGCCCAGGGCTGCTGGGACAGTGTTTAGCAGGAACCAGTGAGGCCTGTCACTATGGCTTAGTAAAGAAACCCACCCATGCCCTGAAGGAGTCATCCCTGATTGTGGCAGATTCTGCATCTGTGTCCTCAACCCACACCAGCCCTTCCTTGTAAGCAGGTTAAGTTGTATCCCTGAGCTGGGACTTCCAGAGCCTGGGCCCCCATAAACCCGTGTGGGTGGTGTAAAGAGTGGCTAGGGGCGGGGGGCAATGTCAGGAGCGGCTCACTGGTTTCGGGGGGTGAGAAAAGGGAGAAGAGTAGACGACAAGCCTGTGTTCCCTCTGATTGGGAAGACTGGGTTGTATGGATTGGCTATATTTGAGGGTGACTGTGGGGACTCCAGAAGGAACCCCTGGGTGGGTCTATTCTGAAGAGGAGCTTGGGGGTCCTTGGCTTTTGGTGTAACTTGACCTCTTCAACTTTCCCTCTTTCATTGTTTCTTTCCCCACACTTAAAAAATGGATTTCCAAATCTTGATACCTCCCGAGCTATTGTCCCCTTGTTCTCTACCCATTAAAAAATTCTCAAAAGACCCCATGTTCCACCTCTTTGACCTGAGTAGTGCCCAGCACTGGTGACCTTGTCCTGTGCCTTCCTCTCACCCAATCTGACAGGGGCCCTCAGCTCGTCCCCGACACGCCACCCTGTCTCCCTCCTCCCTCGGCGTCCGTGCCCTCCCTCTGTTCACAGCACTGCCCTGCCTCCTACCCTCACAGTCCTCACTCCTCTGTTGGGAGTGTCCCCCAGGGCAGGTTTGCAGTCATTTCTGTGCAGTGGATGTGACTTTAGGCTGGTGACTTCAGAGGACCCCTGAGTCCCTGAGCTGCCTATAGTCCTCACACCTACTCCAACCACCAGCTAACCTCATCAGTCTCCAATGTGCCTCTCTGTCAGAAAAGCAAGCATCGGTGGCCTGGCCACCCCCCTAGACTCCTGTGGCCTCCATTTGTTTATCCCCCTGTGGAGCTGGGCAGCAGCAGAAAGGGCCCTGGGAGGCTGAATAGCCTTTACAAAACCAAATAAGCCATGACACTGACACTTGCCTCAACTTATTTCCCCTTGACCACTCAGTGGGAAACATCCTGATTGAAATCATTGCCTCCGTATTTCCTTCAAAGATGCCAACCGAGGGTCTGTTTAAATGAGCACAGCTGCCAGAATCCCCCTCTTTGATGTCACGTGACCCTGCTCCTGCCAGGAAGCTAAGTCTGTGAACAAAACCTCGGACTTACCCACTGCCTGCTGCCTCACCCTGATTCCTCCCTCGCCTGCCCCAGGGAGCAGGCTGATAGCAGAGGGCTCAGAAGCAACATGTTAGTTGTATCATCTTCAATATCTTAACATTAACCAAAATGAAGAAATCATGTGCCGACACATGACTTTGCGTCTTTGCACCTCAGAGACTGATTCTATAATTCTAAGTATGGAAGTAATGGTTCCAAAAAGAACAAATGGACTTTGCCCTCACAGGCATTAAGACTTCTGAAGCTGTGAATGCTCACCTGATGTGGTGCAGTGGGAGCGCAGACACAAACCCCAACATCAGTATGTGGACCTTGGTATCCAGAAGGAAGGCATTGCATATCAGGGAGGATGAGAAAATTTCCTTCCACATGGAGAAGTTGGCTCACAGTATAGACAAAACAAATCCAACATGGACTAAGTTTATTGTAACCAAATATAAATATTTGTGATAATATGGAAGCAGCATTTATACATTTTGTAAAGCAGAAATCATGAAATCATGATTATTTTAAAATAAAAACTATGTCAAAAACATCATAAACAGCTAAAGCACTGTCTACACGCGTGGACATACCTGCAGCATACATGCAATAAGTACATAACAGGTATCTAGTAGTTGTAAATAATAGCAAATATGTGAGTCATTGGAGCAGAGAAAACTTGAGTGGCCTGTAACATGGTTGTGGCAGACGATGAGCTCTGAGGACCTGCAAACACCAGTCATGTCCCCCCCACAGCCACACTCTAGTGGGGGCACAGTGACATCTTCATTTACATTTGGGCCCTTCCTTTTCATGTGAGTCATTTCCTAAGCAGCTGCTGTTTCCTCTGGGCCTGGGGCATGTCCCTGACCCTACAGCCCTGACACCCAGGAGGCACAAGTTCTGGCAGTGAATGACAATTAGCCTATCTGGCTGGTGTGACTGTCAGGGAAGTGGAGCTGCAGAGGGCAGGACTGGGAGAAATGGGAAATAATTCAGAATCAAGTAGAGAGGAAGAGAGGAGGCCTCTGATGGATCTGTTGGTTGGGGCAGAGGATCCAAGGAGATGGGAAGATGCCCTTGATGAAATCAAAGACCCAGTTTCCATTAACAGGCATAGGGTCACATTCTAACAGCAACTCAGAAAAAAGCAAGTACAAATCAGCCAGAAAATTAAGAGCCCCAGAGGAAACAGGCACCCGCTCCCTCTACCTCTCATCTCCATCGGCAACTCAGAGAACCACATTGGGATCTGAAAAACAGTAACTTGATCCTACCCGACCTGAGGGAAACACAAAGGGAGGTTTACTGGTCTAGACCAGACCTGGAGCAAACCTGAGGAGGGCATGGTGTTCAGAGATGGATAGACAGGCAAGATGTTGGCCCGAGGGTGGAGTTCCTGCGTGTCTGGTCCTGGTGCTCGGTTCTCACTCTGCTTGGATGGTAAGTTCATGCTGGGTGGCTTCCTGGATGTCCCTGAGCAGGCGTATTTCCCACTGCCTCACTCGCTCCTTCTGTTAAAGGAAAGGCATCTCTGAGGAAAGTGCTCTGCAGGAACACTGACCTTTCACAGAAAGCCCGTGCAGAAAAAGCAGATGTTTCTGCCCCCTGGTCACAGACCTATGTGTGAGTACCTCTCAGCACCACACAGACTGCACAAGCCAGTGCTGCTCTGGCCAGCCTGCACAGTATTGCTTCCACATGCTGAACACCACTGCCCCCAAATGGAGCATCTTGTAGATGTCCCAGTCTCCAGGTGGAGACAGATGGGTATGTAAGTGAATGAGGCCCAGCCCCAAGGAGCTAGGTCTGACCTGGGTGTAGAGAGGACAATGGAGCGGGGACAGGTGCTGACCCAGCAGGAACACGGCCCATGTACAGGGTGTGCACTGTGGACAGTGTCCTCTGGGTTGGTCTAGAATGGTGATTTATCACTATTTTCTAGAGGTTCTTCTAGGGGCTGCTCAGGGCTGCTGCAGGTAGGAGGGTTGCTTAGTAAGGGTGGGCCAGGCAGGGGAGGATGGGGGCTGGATAACTCTTGCTGCTAAACAAAATGAGGACTTGTTGGAACAAAGTCTGAGATTTCAGGTGGCTTCGCCGGATCCCATGTGTGTGGTTGTTAGGGCTGGGTTACAGAAAAGATTGGAAATAGATCTTAAAAGTTCTCACAGGAGAATAACCATCACTATTTGAGGATGGTAACCAGACTTATTGTGGTGATCATTTCTCATTATATACAGATATTGGATCATGTTGTCCAGCCTGAAACTAAATGTTATATATTAAATTAAAAAGCAAAACACTAAGCCCCATCTTAACAAACAAGAACAGAAAAAAAGTTAAGATTTTATGAAAAGGGACTGCACAAATATTATAGTATTTTTGCCTACCACCTTCAGTTCCCCCCTGATTACATCACTAAAATAAACTGAATTCCATTTTAAAAAAACACAAAACAGAACAGCTAGAATCATTAATAATCAGGAGGAGGAAGTTGTGAAGTCTGCACTGTCAGGAGTCTGATCATCTTTTTGACCTTCTATAACTACAATATCATTCAATGAAGGCACACATGGCTCACATTTATACCTATTCTTGTTATGTCAGAATATTTTAATTTTGATGTATATTTTATAAGGACCAGTATCTGTATATCAAAAAATATACTTTGTATAGTTTTTATAACAAAAAACAAAAATATTCTTTTCCTGTTGCATAACCATTTCAACCTAATGAAGAAATATGCCTTGACAGAAAGAAAAGTATAGAATAAGGGTAAAAGTATTTTCCATCATAAACATTTTAAAGTGGTGGAAAAAAAATGGGCAGTTACATCAATGGGTCAACTCAGCCTTGGGGAATGTGAAACTCAGATTTCTGGTTGAAATTTAATGTGAACGTAGAAGAAACATATGAAAATCTTTCTGCATAATTCATCCCAATTCTATATGATTAAGCCTCTCTGATTCATATTAGCTTCTTGTTATAGTAACATTCATTCTTTAGTAAATGACTCACCCAATACCTACTGATTCAGAATCTTTGAAAATAGGCATAGTTTCATGTTTAAAAAAAATAAAACTAAAAATGTACACAGGTGAGTTTGATGCAAGTCTTTGCTCAAAAAATACTGTGTATATGTGTGGTGCATGGAGCCTTCTCCTAAGGGAGGCACTTAATTTGTGTGCTGTCACTTACATATTAAAGTGAATCATGACACTCAGGTCCACTGACTAATTAGCTCCAGACCCATTAGCTTACATGGAAAGGGGTTGTTACACTTAGAGCTGAACTAGTTTGCTCAAGCCACATGGAATCAAGTAGAAAACTGTGTGCTTAGCACCTGTGTCCAAAGAAGGGCAGTCTTACTTTGAGCTAACACACAGTGGAAAGAAGTGTTCTTTTAACCTACTGGCTTCCCAAAGGGTTAGAACTGGCATAAGACATTCTAAATGGGTCCAGCCTCAGCACCTGAGCCTTGGCAACCCACAGTCGCCTCCCTGAGGCACCATCAGGAAACCACTAAGCACTTCCCTTGTGCCAGACCATCCTTGAAACATATTTACATGCACCATCACATTTTATCCTTAAAAAATTTCATCATATTGAGATACCTGCTATTTGAAACATATCCCCCAAAGGGAAAAAGGCAATGTAGAATGTACAAACCCAATTACCAAGGAGATCAGCTAGCAAGAGCAGAACATGTGGCAGGCTGTGAAGGAAGCAGATCCCACCCACTGAACCCTTAGGTGGGAAGCAGGAGTGGCGGCCTCAGGGTTTTCAGAGATATGATGAAAAAGAAAGTGGATTTTTTCAGTTCCCACCTCCCACCCCGCCTTATTCATAAAGTACTGGTATGATGGTGCCAGGAAGGTTTGCAGCACATGGAGGAGTTTGGGGAAACAACGGAAATTTCAGGAGGGAATATATTTTAATGATACAGGCAAAGGTCCTTCAAGGGTCACAGGGACCCCTTAAAGCAGGGAATGGGGAGGGCAGGGCATCAGAAAGGCCCCTGGCCACTGGGCCTTCTCCAGTCCCAGTGGCCTCATTATGCCCCAACCAAGGGCACATTTGTGAGGAAGAAAACACACTTGCTTTCCCCACCATTGCTAGGCCACCTCCAGGCAGGGCCGTGGTCACAGACCCAAGCTCCAGGGGGAATGGGGTAGAAACAAGAACAGGGTCCAAGCCTACCACAGCTGTCTGCTTCTTCAGGTCTCGTCTCCTCCTCACAGCTGGGTCCTGAATTCGAGGTAATCCCCTATTTTGTGGCTGACGCTTTGTTTTGGGAGGCTTTCTCTGTTGTTGCTGCTTCCTGCCTGAAGTTGGCATGGGTGGATCTTCTTCAAAAGCCCAGGGATCCATGGTGGGTCCTAGCTGCCCACTGGACACCTCTGAGGCACGTGTGGTAGAAAGCTGCTGCTTTTGGAGGGTGGCTGTGGTGCTGGACCCTTCCTGGGAAGACAGCATATCTTGGGGAGAATGTGTAGGCAGCTGGGCACCATCCAGGACAGTGCCTGGTGGCCTCACGTGCCAGCTTGGGGTGGGCTTCTCTGGGATACTGTGCTTTTGGACTGTTCTCAAGGATGGCTGTCTGGTGACTGAAAGGCCCTCATCATCAGAGGAGCTCCACCCAGGAACCTGTCAAATAAAAGCACAGAGGTCAGCATTCTAGAATATCCAACAAGTTGCATTTTGGGGAGAGCACAAACTCCCACCTGAAACATTTTCATGGAGGTGTGACCACCTAAGGAGGTAAGCCCTCCAGATCTGCCCCCTAAGGGGTCATACAGCCTGAGATGAAGCTCAGTGCTGGACCAGACCCTTTGCTGTGCCTGCCTTTTCATTACCATCTCATACTTCTTACATCAACTAATCAACAGAGTGTGCTTGATTATCCACACACCTGCATTATTGAGGGTGGGTGTCCAAAAATCTGCAGTATAACTGGACTTGGGAGAGAGAGGGTGAAGCCACAAACACAGCCAAGGTGGGGTGCACAGTAGCAGCTGTGCTGGAACCAGTAACAGGTGGAGGAGGGGCCAGATTTGGGGTGTGGGCACATGTCTCAAAATTGCTGACAGAGTTGGGGAGGACCCATGTCCCACGCTCCCTACCCATGAAGCTGGAGGTTATGGTCAGACATGGAATCCCTGAAAATTCTTACAGTCTGGTGTGTGAAGCAGAGAAGAAGCAGGGAAGTTTATTCCCAGAGCACCAAGCCTCAACCTGTACCACCTATAAAATCTGCCTTTCTTTCCCTGGGCTCCTAGTCCACTACAGCCAGGCAAACTTCTACAACAAACACTGACTGCTGGGCAAGAATGAATCTGACATACCTGAGGCTGCTGGCAGCTAGCTTTGTGGTCCTCAGAGGCACTTGCCACTGCCCTGCCCTGGGACTTGCAACAGCTCCTAGCCTCCTAAAGTGGACTGAGAGCACTTATCCTGGAAAGGTCACAGATTGTTGGGTAGACATTGAGCTGACAGCATTTGGGGCTGCTAGAGGCTAGCTTGGCAGTCTTAAGAGTACTATCTCCTAGGGCCTCCCTGGTAGTGCAAGGGGTTAAGCACCACGCTTTGAAGCAATCGCAGCCTCTGCAGCACAAGTTCGATCCCCGGCCCGGCCAGGGAGCAACCCACATGGCACAGCAGACCTCTCCTGTCTTGCCCACTGCTTCCTGCTTCCCTCAGCAGTGTATTTCAGTCAGTCTTCCTGTTCTATTCCCCAGTCTGTCTCTGGTGAGTCCTCTCACCACCATCTCTGGCCTGCACCCCAGCTCTTGTATGCATAAATCTTTTTTTTTTTTTTTAAAGAGTACTATTTCCTTCTTCTTGGCTTGGCAGGCATGTAAACAACCTAAATACTACACAACCTGTGACATCTCATAGTATCAACCTGTGGCCCAAGCCCACAATTCTCTCATCATTCTGCTGAAATCAGACCACAGTGGGAAAGGCACTACCAACAAAATCTGCTAAAATTGAAACTAGCCTATAGCTGAAAGGTCAGTTGCTGTGTGGGCCTTCTGGGAGAGCACTACCTGTCCTGTAGAATTTATTTACAGATTCTTTCCTTTGCTCAAGCAGCTGCAGCACCAGCCGAGGTATACGTCCTTGGAAACCTGAGGCCCACCCTACCTCTGGCTCTCAGCATGTACACTGGATTCTTGGACCATCACACAATGTTAGCTATTAAGTTTAAGTCATCCTGACTAATGACAAGGATTTAATCAATACAACAACAAAAGCACAGCATCTAAGACCAACACCCTAGACCAATACCCTGTGACCTGCAGTTCTAACTCAAGACCATCACAACAGGATTGGGAAAGAAAAGTCTAACTTAACCCACACAAATAACCACAGAGCACCAAACAAAATGAAAAGGCAGAGGAATGCACCTTGTTTGATGAATTAAGACAAAGCCAACAAGGTTAATTAAATGGTCAGTAGAAGACTTCAGAGCAACAGTCTTAATGATACTTGTGAAAATTAGAATAGATCAACAAAATAAGAAGTACAATAAGGCCAAATAAATATGAAAAAGCTCATATAGAAGTCATAGAGATCAAAAATACAATAGTTGAAATTGAAAAAGCAATAGAGGGACTCACAAGTAGACTCAATGAGGCCAAGAAAAGAATTAGTGAGGTAAAAGATAGGGTAGTGGAAATCATCCAAAAAGAGAAAAGAATTCAGAAAAACAAAGAAAACATATGGTATTTATGGGACAGCACCAAGAGAACAGTATCTGTAACATAGGGCTTCTAGAAAGAGGAACAAGAGAAAGGGGGTAGGGGGGTATCCAATTTTAAGAAATAGTAGCCAAGAATTTCCCCAAACTAGGGAAGAAAACAGACATCCAGGTCCAGGAAGCTCAAAGAAAGCCAAACAAAGTAAACCAAGGGAGTTGGCAAGAAGATGGAGGAGTGAGGATGCCAGACTCACCTCCATATACTCACAAATGCAGAGCAGCAAACCAAAGCCAAAAACTCCTGAGGGGAAAAGAGATGACCAAGGCACATGCTAGGAGCAATGGTCCAGTGGAGAGGAGTAGGAAAAAGGCTATGTGAACTGTGTTTAGTGTGATAGTGGGGAAACTCATAAGTGGGAGCATAAATGCTGCACGAAGCTCCTTACAGTTGCTGAATCAGGCACACCCCAACACTGGGGCCTCCTGAGACCTGACACTGCACTGGATGGACGCAGATATGTGTGAGTTGGCATCCAGGACAGAGGATGCTCTGTTGGAGAGCTGCAGGAAGGGGTTCAGAGTGAGAATTACTGGCTACAGCCTGAGCTTTCAATATAGAATAGCTGGAGCCTGATTTGGCAGGGAGAAGCAGGACAGAACACTTTAGAGAAGAGGTTACTGCTCCAAGCCCAGGCTGATATATTCAAAATACCTGTCACTCCTTACCTCAGGGCTATAACCAAAACAAAGAAATGTTTGAACAAGTTAGAACTTAAGTACTTGTCAATAATAGGAACAAACGTCAGGGATAAGGTTCTGTGTTGGAAAAGAAGAAAGAATTCCTGGCCTATGATCCCATATCAACTACAGGCTGCCCAGCATTACGTCTAGTACTTACAATATCCTACATGAGACTATAATAGATGCTAAGACTGAGGAGATGGCCTGGAGGAGATCACTGTGGCACCTCCCCTCACAATTCTGGTACACAGCACAGCTAGAATTTCTGAGTTGATCGTTCAGTGCCTACTGCCCCAGTCCCTTTTTTTTTTTTTTTTAAAGATTTATTCATGCATACAAGAGCCAGGGTACAGGCCAGAGGCGGGAGGGTGAGAGAATCCACCACAGACAGAGCGGGGAGCAGAACAGGCAGATGGACTGAAATATACTGCTGAGGGGAGCAGCAGGCGAGTCAGGAGAGGTCTGCTCTCCTGACTGCTCCCTGACTGGGTATTGAACTCGTGCTGCAGCCTGGACAGCTTCATAGTTTGCACCTTAACCTCTTGTGCCACCAGGGAGCCCCCTCCCCCCAGTCTTCTTTTATGCCTACTACCAGTCCTCAGATTACTTCAAGTGCGAAGACAACAGTTTGAAAATCTATCCTTATTATAGCACATAGAAATTAAAAATAAGGAAACAAAGAACATACCACAATGGCACAGCAAACAAACAACAACAACAACAAAAACACAACCCAGAGGGGAACCCCACCCTAGCAGAACTGTAGCACATGACAGAAGGAGTTTAAGGTTACTTCTAACAATGCTTATGGAAGTCAGAAAAAATTGAGGCTATAAAACAAAATAAAGACTATGAGGCAGCTATGATTAGAAATAATGGAGCTAACAGCGAAATAAGCCAGAAAGAAAAAGAAAAATACCGGATGGTCTCACTCATAGCAGGAATCTAGAAAACTTAAATAAGGGACCAGGAAAATGAATAACTATAAGAAAGTGAAAATCAAAATCAACAAAAAACTATGAACCAGAGACACTTTTTGGGGGGTGGGGGGCAGGAGGGGAGGGACTGGGGTCAGAAAGGGGGTTTGAAATTGTATGGGGAATATAAAAATAAAATTTATTATTAATTAAAAAAAAAGAATAAAGGAAATAACACAATTGGAAGAAAGAAAAAAAAGAAATAATGGAGCTAAGAAGTATGTGGTATCATTACTAAATTTAAAAACTAAATCCCCATGCCTTGCCCAGCAAGGAAGTTTGGGAGGCTTGAACAGATAAAGGGAGTGGATGAGACTGCCATGGAACAGGCATTAATCTGATCTGAATTAGCATAATGGATCATCAGCATACCCAAGACTAGTCACCCTAACCAATCAATGATGCCTGGAATATAAAAAAAGGCTTGGGACCCTCACTCTGTGTAGACGATCTTGCCCCATAGTATATTTCAATAAATCTGCCTTTTCTCTTTTCCACTGTCCCTGAATTCCTTCACACCCCCACCCGTCTATGCCAGAGTCTTCCCCAGCACAAGAAGTGCTATAGCTGATTAAAGAAACACAATGGAGGGCCTCAGCTGCAGACCAACAGAAGAAATCTTGAGAACTTATGAAATAAATACAAAGTTGGAAAATACACAAATACAGAAAAAAAGAATTAAAGAATGAAGACTATAAGAGGCCCATGGGATAACTTAAAGAGAAGTATTCATATCTTTAGGGGTCCCAGAAAGAGAAAGGAATAGAAAACTTAAAGAAATAATTACTTCAATCCAGCAAACAAACCAGATGTTTAGATCTAAGAGGCCTATAGAGTTTTTTTTAAAAAAAAGCCAGACACACACAAACCAAAACACATAATAAAGCTGTTGAAAATCAATAACAAGGACAGATTATTACAAACATCAAGAGCAAAAAGGGTGCCCTATAAGGGAATACTATTCATAATTCCAGTGGACTTTTCAGTAGAAGCATTACACAAAGAAACTGGAAGGAGATATACATTTTTAATTTAATTTGATTTTCTTTTTTTATATTAATATTTTAATTCTTACATCATTTTTCATTTTTGCACAATGTATGCATTATCATTTTGGTTATATTCCCCATACAATTGCACACCCCCCCTTATTTTGACCCTAGTCCTTCCTCTCCCATTCCCTCCCCCCACCCCCATAGTGTGTCTCTAGTTTATAGTTGCTTGTT